TCAACATTTTACTATAGGTTAGGAAAAGGAAAAAAGAAAAGTTTTCTTTTATCGATTACTCATTTATATAATTGTGTTAAATGAACACTTTACTGTAGGCTAGAAAAGAAAAACAAGAAAAGTTTTTTGAATCCATTTATGATTGATAGAAATGTGTATATAAATGATATAAATCAATACTTGATAGTTTGTTTTATTCTTTATTTTCAAAATGAGAACAATCTTCTGAATGCTCATTTATATTATAAGTCGAATTAGACATCTCATGACTCCATGACTTAAACAATGTTTGTTGAAGTAAAAAAATAGTATAATTATACGAAACGATTCTTTCTGAATTTATTGTCAAAAATTCGTTAAAACGTGGAAAAGTGTTAAAGATCGTTAACTGTTTAAAAGCGGTTTTGGCGACAAATTCAACATTTCTAAGAGAAATGTCTTCATTTATAAATCAAAATATTTAGATGCAACTAATTTCGATTATTACAATTGTTGTACTCAGCTTCGGTTGTGTATTGGCGTATAACAAAACACGTAATCAACAATGGAAGTTATGGAAAGATAAACACAAGAAAAACTATTCTGATGCCGACGAACTTGTTCGGTATAGTATATTATTCTTTATTTCTATTTCTAATTGATTATCAAACTCTGCAATTGCAGACGTGCTGTGTGGGAGAATAATTCGAAGATTATCGAAGAACACAATCTTCAAGCTAATCTTGGTGTTTATACGTATCGACTTGGAATGAATCAATATGGAGATTTAGTAAGCTTTTATATTGTAATCTTCAAGTATAGTTTATCTATAATTTGTTTCACAAATAGACTGTCAATGAGTTTGTGCAAAAATACACTGGTTTCAAAGGAAAGATGAAAACAAAAGACAATCAAGTTCATGAAGTATTGGTATCCGATTCGACTGCTAGTCTACCAGACTCTGTTGGTATGTATTACAGTGAACTGAAACTATGACTTATGAAAGTATTTGACTGTTTTCTTGCTAGATTGGCGTAACCAGAGCGTTGTTGAAGCAGTCAAAGATCAAGGCGCTTGCGGATCATGTTGGGCCTTCTCAACAGCTGGCGCAATTGAAAGTGCATATGCTATTAAAAATGGCACGCTTCTTTCCCTTTCTGAACAACAATTAAATGATTGTTCTGGCGGAGATGGAAATGAAGGTTGTAACGGTGGTATGACGGATAATGGCTTTGTATATGTCATCAATGCAGGTGGCATCGAAACAGAAAGTTCATATCCATATAAAACGGTTGACCAGGCATGCATGTTCAATGCAACAGACATTGCTGTCAAAGTCTGCGATTTCGTTCAGTTAGCATCAGGAAATGAAGCAGTTCTCCAACAAGCCGTTGCTACAATTGGACCAATATCAGTCTCGATTGATGCTAGTCATTCCTCATTTTACTTATATGAATCCGGTGGTATGTAATATTCTTCTTCTATCTCCAACTATCATTTTGTACAATTTTTTAATAGTCTACAATGAACCAACTTGCTCACAAACCTTATTTGATCTTGATCATGCTGTTCTTCTTATTGGTTATGGTACAGACGGAGGCGATGATTATTGGCTGATAAAAAACAGGTAATTATTATGTTTTAGATAGTCTATTAATAAATTCACTACTTCTATTATGATCTCAGTTGGGGCACAAGTTGGGGTGAACAAGGTTATATGAAAATGACACGAGATCAAAATAATCAATGCGGTATCGCGACGTTTGCCAACTATCCGATTATTTGCTCCGCTAATATGCAACCAGTACAACATCAACCAGTACAGCATTGGGTATCGGATGCTTTCTGTATGACACCTAATATGTTCCTGATGATCGGTATCTGTTGCTTTGTAAAGACAATTTACGACTTGTAACAGCCTGTTTCAGAATATATCACTATAAACATATACACAACCCACAAAAACCTCACACTGACATTCATACCATCACTCATGCCACCTTTCTCTGAACTATGTTTTCATTCCTAATTTGAAAATAAATATTTATACCAGAAATCTTCAAATTGCTTCATTTATATGTGATCGTTAGATACAATTGCAAAATAGAAAATCGATTTTTATTTCAAGATTCAGATAGAATTATACTATACAAGAAAAACACCCATAATTTTCACATCTCCAACATAGTTTTTCTTTCTTATTTGCTTCTAAATGCCAACGGATAAAATGTAAAAAAACAATTTCACATTCAACAACGCGTGAATAGAAAGAAAGATGAAAAAATAAAAAGCTTTCTCATTTTCTTGTTTACATGGTGCACACAATACCTTCATCATCGGCATCAAATTTCTACAACTGTCGCTCGCATTGAACGTGTACAATAAAAATGGGTTGTGTTCCTCTTCGTCGAAAGAAGCTTTTCCCCTTATCCTCACTTTTGCAACGCCTTCCGAAGCAAAAAGCTACGTTCGACGAAACCTTTTCCAGCAAAACGGATACGTACCTAAAAATGAATTTGGAGTCATTCAACAACGAAATATTGCTTGATTTATTTGAATATCTTAGCGTTGTTCAGCTTCTTCGTGCCTTTTATGGTCTCAGTTGTCGCTTCAATGGTCTTCTCTTCGAGTATCTGCAAACTCATGATCTTGATTTTCGATCTGTATCAAAATATGACTTCGATACACTCTGTCGACAATTTCTTTCATCTGATGTCGATAAAATCTTTTCACTTTCCCTGTCAGACGATGACAGTACTCCAAATCAAACCACTTATTTTCTTGAACATGGTTTCAATCTTCTTCATTTCACTCATTTGCGATCACTTTCCTTGTATTACGTCACTTCTGTTAATACAATCAAGGGACTAATGTCCACTTGGCCTCATCTCCCTAATCTCAGTACTCTGAGATTGAAACAACGCTCCTGTCTAGATGATGAAATAAATTCTCTCACTTTTGTGAATAGCATTTGGAGTATACCTAAACTAGTTGATTGTTATCTACACGTTTATTTGAATTGGCAATTATATTTTCCTGTGCCAACTGTGATCTCATCAACCTTGAAGTATTTATTTATCTCAGGTTCTAAGTGTAAGTTCAGTGAAATGGCTTCTTTATTCAAACATTCACCGTGTATTCAGAATCTTTTCATCAAGATCATTTACGATTCGACTATGATATACCTGTCATCAGCTGTTTCATCAATCAATGCCTTACATATCTCGTTTTCCGACGGCATAACAGACGACATGGTGATAAATGTTATTCAAAACATTCCAAATTTGTGTCATTTAACAGTTCAGACACAGACCATCATAAACGGACAAATACTGGAACAAATGATTCGCAACTATTTACCCAATCTGAAAACATTTCGTTTTAAAATGAGTAGTATACTTCGTATACCAAACAGCGTGGAACAATACATGGATGCACTCATTCACTCGTTTCAAAGTAGATTTTGGCTTGACGAGTATCGTTTGTTCGTTCGATGCGATATCAGAGATACTCAGGCACGCTACTATAGCATTAATTTTTACTCTTTACCTTATGCTTTCGAGGATATCCATGACTTCTCAGATATATACAAATCGACTTGTTCTAACGATTATAATCATTCTTCATCATATAATCGTGTACGTCGTTTCGAATATAAAGATTGGTTCAACAAAAACTCCGTTGCACCTCAAATGTACTTCAATAATCTTCGTCATCTTTCCGTTGAACTTCCTGTCAATGACTTATTTGGGTTGATTGTACCAAGTTTTGATCGATTGAATTCACTCCAAGTATCATTGTCGAATGAGAATGCAATCTGTGCGTCCCAGTTACAAAATATTCTCGATCGAGCACCTCGTCTGTATTCGATACAGTTCGTTAGGTTGCCATTCTACTGTGGCGAGTTACCACCGTTTCAGAACAGACATGCGTCTGTATGTCAACTAGATGTAAGAGCGAGTGATTTATGGTATAACAATGAAGAGTGTGTTGAATTAAGCGCTTCACCTCTAGGTATTCAATGTAAGATACTTTTCATTCGCGTACAAAATCAGCAATGCGTACTTGATCTTATTAACAACATGCCTAACCTTCAAGCATTGTTTGTTCAATTCGGTTATGACATACTTTGTGAAACATCAGCGTCACTTATCGCGTGGTTACGGTGTAATTTACCATCGACATGTATGATTACAAAGGATAAAGATTATGACTTAGACATTCATTTGTGGATTCGTTAATAAATAAAGGAGTGTATGAATGAGAGTATTCTCTTGATCTGTATTCGTAAGAAAACTAGGGTGTGTTGTTGATGTGAATGTGAGTGTGAGTGTGGGTGTAGGTGTGGGCATCTATCTTCTCTTGACCCACACCCACACCCTAACAAATACTTTTTTTTGTAAAATTGTTTTATTATTATTATTAACATCATCTTCTGTTCTTAAATTGACAATATTATGACAAAAAAAACCATTGCAAGATAATGAAAATATTAGAAAAGATGAAGAATCAGAGTTAGTTGTTGCATTTTAAATTATTTTTTCTTTTATCTATCAGCCTTTTATTTATTTATTTTGTTATCATTAATGACCCTAAACAAAATATTATTTCGTATATTTCACATTTTTTTAGATAAAAAAGATTCTTCAGGTTTATGATAAATCTTTAGCTGCATAAGAAAAAGAAGTTAGAACTATGACAAAAAACTACATGTATATAGCAATTAGTGACAAGAAACAAACTTTGGACTTGTGACAACAAAAAGTTTGAGCTGTATGACAAGAATCTGTAGTGGCGTATCAAAAAAAATCTTCAATTATCAGAAGAAAATATTGAAGTGTACCACAAACAAAAGTTCTTCACAATTCATGCAAACTTGCCAATCAGAAAACCCAGCATAAGTGTAACAAAAAGTGTAAATATAAACAAAGTGGTTGGAATTGTTACGAAGCTTGTTCCTAAAATATAGAAATTAATGGATATTGCATGGAAGCTGTATTCTCGTTGAACGGAACCGGTGACTGGATTTATCTGGTTTAGATGGAAACCGACAGGAACATGTCAAACCCGAAAGCCGGATACGGTTACCTCACTTCTCCATCGGATTTCTGGCATTTTCTGGACGGGTTTCACCCAGAAATGGCGAGTTTCTTCAGGGATTTCGCTGGAAATTCATGGAATCCTGCTTCAGAAACCATCGTCCTGGGATATGTGGGTAAATGTCAGAAAACTGTGACTTATGATGACGACAACCACGTGTTTTACCATGACTTATTTTAACATCACATGTTTTAATATTACGCGGCCCTTTTGTACTTCCAGCATCTGAACTTTCTTCATCAACAGACTAAAACAAACATGAAAAGATAATTTAAACGAAAGTTTTACTGCATTCAAAGGCATATACTATCATATCTTCTCGTACAACATACCTTCTTTATCTGCTTTCGGTTGTCATATATTATATATTACTGTAATTATCTCTGTACAGGTCTGACTGCGTAAATCATAAAAACCAGACAAAATTCGATCATCATCATAGCTAATTTTATAAATTAGAGATAATATAATACAGTTCAAAGTAGTGAGCGTATATGATTGTTGTGTGTTAGATTTAGTGAGATAAATCCTTTAGGCTGTTAAAAGAACGATATTAAACAATGAAAAATGGATGTTTACTCTAAACTGTGATTTCTCTCTTATAAACAAATGGCAGAATTCTAAGACAAAGAAAAATAAAAGCAAAATAAATAAAATATAGTTTGATTGTATTCGACTTTCTTTTGTATTGATCTATTTGAGAAGTTTGACTTGCAGAGAAAAATGGATTTACTTACAGTTAGATTTTCTCCTGTTGGAACTTTTTGACACATGTTTGATGACACTAGAGAAATAGAACGATTGAAAATGTGAAAGATAAAAGCAAATTAGAGGCGCATTTCTACGTGTATATATATTGCAATGATCAATCAATATATCTTTCATGGCGGACAACTATATTGTTTTTTTCTTTTTTCATCCAATGAACGTGCGTAAAAGCTCAACGTATTGGAATAATAACATGACAATTCGATGTTGAATTTCATCAAATAAACTGTTTTTCAAGTGTTAGCAGTGAACAATGGAATACGAATAACATTCTGAATTCAAAATATTGTTCTCTTCAGCTACTTTATTTTGTTCATGTTGGGTAGCACAGAAGATAGAGTTATGATTTATAGTGACATAGAAGAATGACTGCAAAATATTCTATTCGTAGATTCGTGATCATATCTAAAGATGATCTAGATCTGTTATGTACTGTCTTTATACGCTTTTTCTTAATTCTTTTTACACGGTTTTCTATGAAACAGAAGTTCAAATCTATGTATCATATAAATTGGATTTAATTATTTGTCATTTTGACATTTATAAAGAAATATATTTGACTCAGTTCTAATTTGTACATTCAGATACTATATTGATCAATAAAAATATCAACTTATCTCTTTTTATTTTTCCTCATCTATTTTAAAGTTTCGTTTTTTTTCCTTTCTTGCTTAATTATGATTATTTATAGATACATCCACGGTTACTAGGTCACCTTAGAATAAATATTCTTCTTATATTAACAAGTAACGCTCGTCTGCGGACTCGCTCAGCTCTTTCTCGTAGAAATCGGAGTCTACAATACTAAACTTTTTGCTTATGCAGTTTGGAAAAATTAACACCAGATTTGTGTTCTTCCACCTCACTCACCCTTCGGTCACCTCTTATGAAAAATTTGTTTTTATAAAAATTGGTTCTCTTCCTAAAAAAGTGATCCATAAAATTATTTTATGAAACTAACAACAGATTCGAAGTCTCCGCATCGAAATGCCTCAAAAATGTCTTTTCTAAAAAATCGATTCTCGAATTACCCTCTGGTAAAACTTTCTTGGAACTATCTTTACGATTAATAATATTAATTAATTATTAATTGATTTTTAACTAAAATTAACCTCACATTAGAATGCTTGGCACGCGATTACCCTTCGGTCAAACTTTTTTCAAAAATTAATAATATCAATTATTAACTGATTATTAACTAATTAATTTTAATAAATCAATCTTAGATTCAAGTTCCCCGCTCTCGATTACCCCAGTCGAAGTTTTCCGGAAGTATCTGAAAAATTAAATTTCAATGTTTTTTTGACCCTGCAGACATACAAGCAAGCAAGCAATCAATCAGATAATTTATGTTTACTGGATTCTACTCTACGAGAAAGAGAATAATAGGGTGTGGGTGTCTTTTCGGTTAACTGACGCCCACTCACACCCACACCCTGACTTGCTGATATTTACTCCGAAATTTAATACTAATAAAATATTTTATTATTTAAAATCTTATGCTAACACATCTATTGATTCAATGATAGTAATATGAGATATTTACTTTCAGCATACAATTTCTATACATATTGACTTAAGAGTCTACTTGAGTATCAACTGAAACTATGCAAACTGTATCTGACTATTAGGATCCATTTACAATTTGAAAAAATATACGCATGATGGCAACTACTACCAGAGAAGTATCAAATCTTTTATCGATCACAATAGAAGTAATCTATTTTGTAATTAAACTGTCACATAGCGATTCTCTATCAGACATCTCGTCAAAACTTAATAAAACTCTCTATTTTGAGCGTGGGAATGGATGTGGCTGTGTATGCGAATATATATCATCTCTTTCTCCAAATCCACACTCACACCCTCTATAATATATATTTGTTCTTGACTTACTCAATGTAAATCCAGCATAATTCTGAATATGTCTCGCATAAAGAAAAATATATTTATACAAGAAAAGAGAAAAGAAAAAAGAAAAAAGAAAAAAAGGAGCGACATTTTTTTTTTGATGGCTTACTTTATTAAAGAAACGACAAAAAAAACTTGCTTATAGTTAATCGACTGCGAAGTGAATGTGATATATCTAGATAGACAGATATATAGTTGATTTCAATATATTTTGTATTTAATAAAATATTGTTTTATTTATACCTTTATATATTAACTTCACAATTTCAGCGAGTTAATTATGAAACCAACGGTGACTAATAAAGATACAGTTATTCCTTTGGAAGAAAGATCCACTATCGTCAATGATCCAGTTGTAACACAAGAAACGCCAGATGAACAAGTAGCGATGAATGTAGCAGAAGTTGACACCAGAAATCCAGCTGCAGCTTTAAATAAAGTTGCAAAATCACTTCCAATGATGACTATGGGTGCACTTCTTGGACTTATTATTATACCGAGTGAGTAATTATTCATTTTTTCTTTTTCTAATCAATCGACTGAAATTAATATAAAATTTCTATATGTGATTTTCTTGAAAAAAAATTAAATCGATTAAGTAAATATCTCATATTATCTATTGGCATAGTTTATGTCTTATTTTAGTTCTACAATTGTATATTGGTTGGGAATATGCCGATGCATGTCCAGTCAATCCAAAGATACCAAAATATCTTTTCGTTGCTGGAACTGTTGGAATTGTTTCTGTTATATTAAATCAACTTCGAGTTTATTTAGCGGCAAAAAGTGCACAACCATCGGTAGACATAACCGATCGTAAGACTACTATTACTGCAGCTACGGGCACAAATAGTCCATTGAACTCCGTTATCACGACTATTACCTATGCTCTCAATATCTTCATGGTTGTTTGGTTTATTTTTGGATGTATATGGATATTTCGTGTATGGAATGATGTCAAATATCGTCCACGAAATCATCCTCATTTTTGTCAGGCATTAGTCTATCGATTTGCTTATATATCGGCTTCTTTTAATTCCAATTTTGTTCATACTTTTTTGTCGCTGTTGTCTATTATGTTTAGGATTCATTGCTGTGGTTGTTGTTGTAGCCTCATCTGACTAATAGAACTAGAAACAATTACATGAATTTCTTTAAAATCTTGATATTCACATATTAGTTTTAATATATATGAAAACAATTTATATTTTTTTAATAAATTATCTCATAATCATCATCATTTTAGAAACATTTGAGAGCATATTGATGATGACTAAGAAAAATATTATTGTTTTAATGTATGAATAGAATCTCATCAACATTTTTATCATGAATTATATTTTGAATTCATATAATTTGAGTACTCGATTTTGAAGTTAGTCTGTTAATTAAATTGTCTTCTATTCTTACAGTGTTTCATATTTTGTCTGTTTATATTAGCCCTTTGACTTTCGAATTATTTTTTGCTGGATTGAATTTAAGTAAATCGTTGAATTAGCTTATTCTAGACGTAAGAGTATATGTCAGACATATCTCATACGCTCTCACAGGTGATTAGTTGATTTGTGGGTGAGGGTGTGGGTGTATCTTATTTATTTCACCCACACCCACCTACACCCTACCTCTTAAAATTAGTTTCCCAAAGTCACATATGTTCAGGGTTGAATGATTCTAATGAAAAATATCCACGATAAAATTCCAGCTCAATGTAAGAACCATTTCGTTTAATTTAGTATGATATTAAAGAAACTGACTGTTCCTTCAATATATTTTGAACTATGTGAAATAAATTTTAATTTTCTATAAGAAAAATGATAAAAATTGATTTTCTTGTTAGATAGACAGCTAATATATTACAATATTATTTCTCTCATATCTTATCGCCGAAGTTTAATTTCATTCAATGATCACGCAAAGGAAAGATAGTTTGTTTTATTCAAATTAGAAGTCGCTAAAATCTTCAAATAAAATATAATAGTAATAGCGTATGCTGAGTCTGTTAAATCCTAGTTGTTTTGTAAAAAAAACCTACATCTTCATTTGCCTATAAACATACTATTTGCAATTGATATTGATGATTGGTTAATAAATATAAATGTCGAATTAAAATAAAATTCAATTGAAATTAAACTTTGATTAGAAGAAAATAATTGACAAGTTTGGTTTATTTGAAAATAGTTTAATGCAGATATTAATTTATCCGATGTTATCATTTGACATATACATTCATGTTGAGTTATATTTGATAATAGTGAATTATTGATCATACCAATGATTATATTATTTTCTGTTGTACTCATATTTAAAGAATTAACTATGGAAAATATCGAGAATATAAGAATCATGTAGTACATGTTTTATTCTGCTGTCTTGCGCTTAAATATTTATACAAATGCCTTAATATATTTTATCGTTCATTTTTTGTTGTTTCATTCCCGGAAAAAGTTTACAGTTCATGTTTACTTGTTACAAAACAATCATCATGGATTTGTAAGAACAGAAAGAGTATTTTACTAGTTTCTTTACTCATTTATGAGATTCAAATATCATTATATTTGTAACAGAAAATAAAATCAATAGTTGCCTTTTGTTTCTTTCTTTCACTTTCTCTTCTCATTATACTGTGCATCAAATTTATTGCCAACAAAAGATATGACATAAGGGTTTTATTTCAGTTTGATCTGTATATGACGCTGAAATAAAACTCTTATCTCATATCTTGAATTGGTAATAAACTTGATGCAAAGTATGATAGCATAGAAAGAAAGAGGTAAAAAAATTTTGTCCATGGATGTAGATGATGCTCATAGCCGATTCGAATAATTTCAACGGTGGTTCATCCAAGAGCCTATTCTAGAGCTCTTAGTCAGTTTTTCAAGTACAACTTTGTGAGTTCTATTCAAAAGTATAATTAGATTTTCCATAACAGAGATGGACGGGGCACCAAAGAAGAGTGTGAGTGTACTATGCTCTTATCTTACCCACACCGACCTATCCTCAAGATGGTCAATTCTACATCAAATACATCATGAGCTCTGAATCTCATTGTCGACCGCTGATACGATCCCTTGAGCAAAGAAATGAAAACGCTGCAAGTGTATGTGCGCTTCCTATACGAACCATAAATGCTAGTGGTGCAATACACCATTCACGCATACACACGTGTACGAATAAGAGCGAAACAATCTAGTGACGTGGCAAGAATAGATTCTGTAACGTCTATATGCCACTAACATTGCTTTTTCGAACTCACTGTAAGTATTGAATGCAAGTTTAGATATAGACTGTTAGCCTTCTCAACACAGACATATCAAATGTGATTATAAGATCGTAAGTGAAGAGGTGTAAGTATTAACCTATCCCTAATCTTAATCCTGTTCATTCCTTCAGAAGTTCTGGAAGACCCTTTCAGGATTCTGAATCACAAGGGTCTCGTCAAGCTTTACTTAGGATTCTATTTCGAATCCTAATAAGTCTTCTTTCCAGGGTTTTTCAAGGCGAAACAGGATCATACACAGGATTTGTTCAAGTACCTGCTTCGATATTTTTCTGAGTTGCAAATATAAGATACTACCAGGATTTACTCAAGATCCTGTCAACGATTCTCTAAAGATTTTGAAAACGAGTTCTGACAAGATTTTATCAGGTTTCCGCCAAGTTCTAGGTAAAATCTTTCCACCAGAATTCTGTCAAGAATGATAGCTACATCAGACAAAGACCTTAGCGAGAAAATAACAAGATCAGTCAGAATACTAAACTGACTAGTCCCACAGAGCTTCACTCAGGATCTTGTTTAAAACTTTTTAAGAATATACGCTTCCAAACTTTGCGAGACAATGTTAACCTTGATCGGAATCTTGATAAGAAAATGTTACGATTTAGCAAAGATCTTCACAGGTTACTGGTTAGTCTATTTAGCCATGTCTACTTCTTTAAACAGACTTGAAGAATCTTTCAGAACCGTAAGTTTCAAGGATCCTATCAGATTTGATTTAGGACTCTAAGCAGAATATATTCGAGTTCTTATTGAAATTTTCCTCTGAATTTAGTGTTTAAGATCCGACTAACGATAAGACTGACTGTTAATTCTATCCAAGCATCTGACAACAATCATAAAGAGAACTTTGAGGGTGTGAGTGCGTGTACAGAATAAATCCACACCCACACCCTGTCAATTTATTTAAATGATTTATAAATACAGATAGACGATTTTCAATGTGTGAAATTTTGATATTGATCGTATGCATATTTTCATGAAAAAGTAATGAAGACTATGTTTTAGATTTCTTTTTCTCACGCATACAATACACGCAGACGGTAACTGTAATATTTGATTCATAGCGGTTAATACAGAACAAAATCGTGAATTAATTCTCTCTAAAAGGAATCAGAATTACTGCATGGCACAAGTCTCTTCGACGTCTTTTCTCACTACTTCAAGACTGTGTGTTAAATGGAAATGGCAGTCGAACGCAAATCCATGGGCAAGTACTAAATCCAAGAGATGGAGACCCTATTCTGATGTCGAAACGGCAATAATCGAAGAAGCCTTTCAGAAGAAGCTTCCGAATGTGCTTCTCGATAAATATAGCATTGATTTTGAGCAATTTGTACAAATTTCGAATAACAACATACAGAAACAACGACGGGTTAAACGACTGATAAATGACGGACAGAATGAACATGTGAAACTAAGAAAAAAGCGTTTTTTGTCTGATTCAATCCAAACTTCATCACCCTTTGCGAAGCTAAATCAACAATCTTTTCTCGAGGTGATTCTCGAACGTTTCAATGATCGAAGTGCAGACCCCAATAGTCTTCCAGAAGTTGTTACATTAGCAGCAGAAGGGCTCATCACTGAAGCAAAGAAGAACAGTGTACAAAAGCAGGGTGAATGGATGGCTGAACAACTTCTCAAAGTGAAAAATGGAACTCGTAATGAAGTGTGGGAATGTTGCGCTCGTCTTTACTGTATGGAATCGTTTCTCTACCATAAACTGAACGAATGCATGCGACTTGTAAGCGATCCACAGAAAGAGCAAATATGGAAGAGCAAAGTGGATACATTAGGTCCATTCGCTCGTCTTCTCCATCGGCTGAAATGGGCTCCACTTCAACAGAATACGTTTACAGTCTATAGAGGAGCACTTTTGTCTAAAGAAGCAATCGAGCAATATCTTCAGAAAGCATTGGATGGTCAAATTAGAATTAAATTCCCTTCATTTACGTCGACAAGTCGCAATCAAGCCAAAGCGGAAATATATGGAAATATGCTGTTTGAAATCACAGTAAGAGATCAAGACGGCTTTGATGTAGTACCCTATTCTAACTTTGATGAAGAAGAATATTTACTTCATCCCGATCTTCATCTCGATGTTATCTCCTGTATCCATGACAATAACAGTGGAAAATGGGTGGTACATCTCGTAGCTGCGGGCTCCAGTCAACCAATTGAGACTGAATCATCTTCATAAGGTGTGAGTGTGAGTGTGGGCCTTAGTATTATATATAAATATTACACCCCATCCACCAAACCCACAAACAGCCACACCCTCAACGATAGAAAACATTAAGATGTATAAAGTTAAATAATTGTTTTATTAGTTTTCGATGGTTATTCATTGAAATAAAATGACTCGCCATATTCTATTCACAAGATTATATTCTGAATAGAATAAAATATAAAATTATATAAATGGTGAATGTCATAATACTACAAAAAATTATATCGAAAGCTTTTCTTGACATAAAACTAATGTTCGTACTAGGGATGTACCGAGCCCGAGCCTTGACCGAGCCTCTCGGGCTCGAGGCTCGGTCAGGCTCGGGCTCGGTAGGCTCGGGGCTCGGTCAAGGCTCGGTAGGCTCGGGGCTCGGTCAGGGCTCGGGCTCGGTCAGGCTCGGGCTCGGGGCTCGGTCAAGGCTCGGGCTCGGTAGGCTCGGGGCTCGGTCAGGGCTCGGTAGGCTCGGGCTCGGTCAGGCTCGGGGCTCGGTAGGCTCGGGCTCAGATGTAAGAAATTCACTCCTGCATCCACCTGACACCGAGCCTTGACCGAGCCTCGAGTTGTGACCGAGCCTACCGAGCCCGAGCCCTGACCGAGCCCCGAGCCTACCGAGCCCGAGCCCTGACCGAGCCCCGAGCCTAACCGAGCCCCGAGCCTACCGAGCCCCGAGCCTGACCGAGCCCCGAGCCTACCCGAGCCCGAGAGGCTCGGGCTCGGTACATGCCTAGTTCGTACTTAAGACAAACAAAGCTTTAAAATTCTCTTCTTTTAGTTAAAGTAAATTTTCAAATAACTATCTTCTTGAAAAGAATATTACTAAGACGTGATGCAAAGCGATATTTGAAGGTGTGAATAAGAGATAAACGCAACATCTATACCCATATCTTCTGATCAACATGAAACATTTATCTTTCGGAATCATGATGACATGAATATTTATTTGATTTTATTTGGTATTATCCGATCCATGCTCAGACGTTTACTGTATTTATTGCGACCCCCAGATTATTTATCTCTCTTTCAATTTAGTTCTGGGCCCGTTCTTTTCTTCCTGAATTATATATCTGTAGTTAGTGCAACTAATGTGACGATTACACAAGTTGCTATGGATTTGATCTCGCTGGATGTAGGTGTAATATTTGTAATCATTTTTCACACACATTCACACTCTCATACTCACACCATACATACTTTGATTGATGCATTCATTTTAATATGTATCTATCTAATATAATTGAATGAATTGATTTATTTGTGCCAGACAGTAACTCTTTATTTTTCACTTTTTGACTAAATTACTTATGGTAAAGCACTTGTTGGTTTAAATTCTTTAGCAATGTGTTAGTTTGACTTCATTCTATGTTGTGAACATCAATACGATTTTTCTAGTTTGTTAGATGTGATTAACTAACTCGATAACTTAATAAACATAAATGTATAAATAGAATTTTTATTATTGAAACGATGTAAATGGATATGGATGCGACAAAATTCTTATAGCTCTATGCCGACATCCACACCCTTAAATTGATATGAAGTGGTGATGAAGAAATAATATCAGATAATACATTATTATCTGAGACTTGTTCGGAATGAAATTCACGCTTTTTCTTCCTATTTTCATAATATTTCATTGTTCTTTTAGAATTTCTCTTTTCAATAAAATCAAGAGTTTGTTCGAACTCGAAATCCATATTGAAAATAAAAATAGAATCTTTAATTAAAAACATAATTAAAAAGTTAAAATTATTTCCTTGCCGATATTTTTATTTTTATATATCTAAACTAATTCAAAAAAAATAAAGTATTCAACATAATAATAGAAATCTTGATCTTTTCATTACGGAAACATATTCAAGACCTCCAAATTTTATAGAAAATGCATCTTACAATCAGTACACAAAATACAGATGTTCCTAGATATAACGAATGCAAGTTGAAAAAAACAATTATTAAAATAAAAAAGTTTTGTAAAATCTTTAAAGTGGACGTCAACAATCTACAGAAAGGAGCAAAAAATTTCATTGAATATGATCCATATATAATCGATCAGGTTTTTTTGCGAAGATCAATGTAGAATTCATCATAGATGCTCATAGAAAAATTCGGTAAAATCCCATGTTACAATCGGTTATTTAACTAAAAATTCATTAGAAGCCAACTTTTAGTCAGTTGAAAAGGCACCATTTTGATTATGATAGCTATTGAATTATTTTAGTCAATTATTCAACTAAGGTCGATTTCTAATAATCAATGATAATTTAATAATTTTTTCATGTGACGAAAGTGCTATTATCAATGGAAAACAAAGTAATCCCTACCAACGGAAAACAATTTGAAATTAATGAAATCAAGAAATCAGTTTTCCTCCTTCAGCACTACACAAAAGTTTAATTAGTTTTAAACGCTACTTTGTTTGCCTCACTAAAGTTATTTAATATTGAAGTAATTATTTTTTTTTATATTTGCATAAAAACTGTGGTCATTTGATCCTAACAATACATGAAAAACCGAAACAAAAAGAAAAAAAGGCAAAAAACATACAACATAGAGTATAATAAAGATCATATGGAAAATTCAAAGTTATAATAGATCAGAACTTGAAAAAGGAACAGATAAAGCATAAGCTTCACTAAAGAAAGAAAAGGAAAGTATGATGGCAAAAAAACTGAAGAATTCAACGGAATAGACGAAAGCTACTTAACAATTCTCTCCAGAATAAAATGATCAGGGACGAATCTTTTTGAAGAAAAATCAAGTTTGTAAATATTTACGCATAAAAATATCGTTTGTTTGAACGCTTGTCTGACTGGGTTATATTTTCCCATAGACATTATTCATGTTATGCATATGAATCATAAAACAAACAACATCTATGATGAACGATTTTTTCCAGTTTGGTTAAATCAATAGAAAGTATGAGCAATCACACCCGCGAGCAAAGTGGAAAGAAATTTCCAGCTTGAACAGTATTTATAGACAGAAAAAGATGCAGAAAAAGCATTCACAATTATTTTTGACGTACTATTCACTCAAGACAGTCAAGCTTAAATTTTGACAGGTATGTGAATTATAACGTTTTAGTTTTTTCATGGGTTATCTGTTGAATAAAATAAATTACGAGTGGGGGGCTAAGAGATTACCCACCATGATGTTTGCCTAATTCCACTTATAATATAAATCAAATGGAAAAGAAAAATTATTAGCATACTTCATACCTATAAAAGTTATTTCATCGATTTCTCATTGATATAATTGTAATAAGTCAACATTTTACTATAGGTTAGGAAAAGGAAAAAAGAAAAGTTTTCTTTTATCGATTACTCATTTATATAATTGTGTTAAATGAACACTTTACTGTAGGCTAGAAAAGAAAAAAAGGAACGCTTTTTGAATCCATTTATGATTCATAGAAATGTGTATATAAATGATATAGATCAATAATTAATAGTTTGTTTTATTATTTCTTTTCAAAATGAGAACAATCTTCTGAATGTTCATTTATATTATAAGTCGAATTAGACATCTCATGACTCCATGACTTAAACAATGTTTGTTGAAGTAAAAATTTTGTCGAGAAATATATCGAGTAGAAACGAGTTAGCCGATATAGTTAAATCAATAGTATAGTTATACGAAACGATTCTTTCTGAATTTATTGTCAAAAATTCGTTAAAACAGTAAAAGTTTCAACAAATCTTAGCGACAAATTCAACATTTAAAAAACACTGAACAGTTCGATGTTTAGACGCTTTTTTTACCGTTTCGTTGTATGCCTAGGTTGGCAGAAAAAGTACATCATGGGCATTTGATGACTCATGAGAAAAAAATACTTGATTCCAAGTGGTATATAAACATTGACGAAAAGAGATATATTCATTCACTAAACTATTACCATAGTTTTATAATTTCTTTTTTTCTTTCTTATTCATACCTATCATCTATTTTTTAAGACATGACATTTCAACAGTGTCGATATGGAGGTAAAATTGTGGACATACCTGTTCGATATATAAACAAGAATAGATATTTGTCCTTACAAGACGTTCATGATTATTTTGTTGGTATTCGAAGATTTACACTGAAAGAAGAATTAATACCATTCATGGAAAACAATGATACTAGTCTTATTTATCCACAACGAATTCCAGCTTCTACTCAAGATATTATTGATTGTCATACATCGACGTCTGCAGACGAAGCTGCCTCGCCAAACATTTCAGATACGATTTTGAAGAATACTGAAATTATCATTACAAAAATTGATGCCACTCGACGTCTAATATTTGAACTAGCAGAATATCCCATACCCTATCTTTTTATCGTACTACCAGAAGAAACATTTTACAATCCTTCAAAGTGGATTTATCATACATATCGTTTGTATTTTGTATGTGACTGCGAAAAAGAGAATGAACGTCATCTTGCTCTGCATGACGGATATAAAATAAACGAACCAAGTGAATTCTTTTGTAGATATGGATCCTATCTTCGTCACATATTAACAGCAATGAAACGTGTGGCAAGCATCGGAAGCATCATTGTTCCACAACTATCATCAATCAATATGGGATTATCTAATTTTACCGCTCTACAAAAAAAGGAATTTTGCAATACTATTACTGATAAATTAGAGCGAGCTGATGAGATTTTGACAAAAGCTCAAGAAAGTCTGAATATTTCAACAGAAGCAACGATTCAAGACGTAGACGGTGCTGAACTACGACAAATTCGAAGGTATTTGGAAAAAGTGGATAATTATAATACGTTAGGAAATTTACATCGTTCTATGACCTCTGATGGTCGTGTTCGATGGGTGTGTGTTAAACATCGCAATATACCATGTTCAAATGTTAATATCCAACAATTACGAGAAGATTTCGAAGAATTAGGTGGAAAAATAATAGACAATGTTGCTTTGGTGCAGGAGCTACACGAAAATAAGTTCGAGAATTTCATCGAACTGTTACATCAAGGATTACCATTCAGTACAATAAGATTGGAAAACTTAACATTAACAAAAGATTTATTCTCAAAATTTCTCAATGTCATCTCAATGAAAAATAAGATTGATAAGCTTGAATTGGAAAACATTTTCTTAACAAATTATCTAAGAGATATATCAACACGAGACATAATTTCACAGCTCAATGATGCAGTAAAAAGCGATGAAAGCCTTATCATTGAATATACATTTACAAGACCATTGGAAAAATTTCAATCAAAATTATTTAATGCTATCAAAGAAACAAATTCACGATTGATATTCAAAATTCGACCAGCAGAAGTAACATCTTCACTGGAATTAGCTGGAATAAATGAAGCTGGATTTATTCTATCTATAAAAAGGGATAACGAAACTGATGCAGTCAAATATTTGTCAGCCATTAACAGTATTTTTAAAGAATTGAAGATATCGACACTTCATCTACACAATGCAATTCGTTCCGAAAATCTGTGGAATACTATCCATCAATTGGTTTTTGATAGTCAAAATCTAGAAGAATTGATTATGGACTGTCCTCCAACATCAAACAAAATTCAGGAATGGATCGTTCCTCTTTGTCAAAATAAAAGGTTAAAAAGATTGCATATAATGAATGGACCAAAACAAGCGAATGTTTGTGAAGAAATTTTTCAAAAGTTGGAAGATAAAAACACTTTGGAAAAATTTTCTCTCACGTCTTCTACTTATCATCTTCAACTTGATTTTATTTCTGCATCATCAGGAAGCAGTGATTCAATGTTAACCAGAACTGCTAATTGCTGTACCAATAAAGATAGTGGTATTATAATTATTAAGAAGTTTCTTCAAATCATACCAGTTCATCATCTGTCATTAGACTTCGCGGATATCAATTATGAAACATCACTCAAAGAATTATCCGAGACTATTAATCAACTATCGTCATTAAAAATTGTTGAACTCCAGAGCAAAACTAGCTGTGCAGTTTTTCATCGAGAAAAACGGATTCTCAACAAGGAAAGTAACGTACTTGAATCTGAGTTGCCCCGTGCACTTGAATCTGAGTTGCCCCGTGCACTTGAATCTGAGTTGCCC